TTATTATTATTATTATTATTATTATTATTATTATTATTATTATTACTATTATTACTATTATTATAATTATATTATTATCATTAATATTATTATTAAATACTGGAAGATATTTACGTTAAAAATTAAATATATTTTTAGAATTAATAATAGGATGTTATGCATTGAATTATATTTTCAAAATTTATCTTATAATCATATATATCACAGTAATAATATAATTTGATCTTACTACTTTCAGAATTTGTAAGATTATATAATGTACTTTTAAGTAATACATTCATTTATATTTTCATAAAATTACATCTCATGCGTTTTATCATCTGATTTTTGAAACTTTGCTATTGTATGAAGAATGTTTTTCTTTTTGTTATTGTAACTACCAGTCATACTTTATGATCTTTCATATATTTCATAAAAAAAAAACAATCAAAATGAAATTATAAGTCATAATACTTTTTGCTAATTATCTTTGTACTATCATTTCTATTTTTAAATTAAGAATCTATATTTTTGTTTTTCTTTACTGAAGTAAAATAAAAATAACAATGAATATAATTAAATTAATTAATATGATATATTCACAAATATATAAATTTCGTTGAAAATTATTCAAATTTTTTGTGTTGACCATTCTTATACTTATACTTATTTTCTTATTTAAATTCTTTTATAAATGTGTATTCTATATTGTAATAGTATGATACAATTGAAAAATGGCAAATGCTTAAATAATTGTAAAAGCATCGAGTTAACAATAAATAAGCGATGTTACATGTAACAAAAGGCAAAATATGCCGAATTGCTCAATACCCCAACCAACGACTGGCATTTTATATATTTTAATATAATGTAATTAAAAAATAATTTAATTAAATTAATATTACCTAAAATAAATAATCATCACGTCATATTAACACCCAAAAAATCTCTAACAGTTTCATATACTATATAACTAATGGATACAGCTGGTGCCACCTAAGAAAGAAAGACAATTGATATAATTAATAATTTAGAATTTAGAATTTTGTTACACAAGTTATTTCATACCTTTAAAAAATTTGGAGTTAAGCCTCTATATAAACCGCGAATTCCTTCATTTTTAATAATGTCTTTAAAAACAGCAATCATAGTATTTGGTTTTCCTGGTGATATATCTGCTTGTAATCGTGTTCTAACTAATGCTAAAGGATATGAGCATACTTGACCGGCTGTACTTGAAGCTGTTCCACATAATAATAATATCCAAAAAGGTGGTTGTTCATTTTTATCATGTGTTCGTAAATACCTATTTTTCAAAGTCTGTAATAAAAAATAGTAAATAATATTCCAAAGATTATTAAATATTAATTATTTGAATTTTATATTTACTTCATATACAGCCAAATCAATACCAGCATATGGAATTATTCCCATTAAATTAGGTATATAACCTCTATAAAAAGATTTTAAACCTCCTTGTTTATATATCTTTTTTGTTGCATCTACTAAACCTGAAAACTCTCCTGTTTTTCTAAGTGCAAATCTAGTTTTGAGTACCTATAATATCATGAATAATATCATTATAAAATAATAAATATTTTAGATATTATGATTTGTTAATTATATACCTCAAGTGGATATATAGCTGATTGACTAATTCCGCCAGCTAATGATCCCGCCATTAATCGTTCGTAAAGTCCGAGCTCTCTAACATCATCTCCTTTAATCGCTCTCTTAATTTGCTCATAGGCCATAAATTTCAAAGCGCTTTCTGGTCCGATTTTAAGTACGTTTATACCATTTCCTCTCCACAAACTAAGAGAACCACCTTCACGAAGCATATACCTGAAGCAACTTTTGATTTTGCAATGTCGCGTTCCATGCACCTGAAAATATTCTTTTTTGTAAAACAAACAGAACTGAATATATTTAATTTTGATTATTTTTTATTTTATATTTATATTTTTTAATATCTATTACGTATCTAATATTATGATTATATTATCTATTAAACTGTAATTTTATCTTTTAATTTCTATTAATAATTAAATTTTTTTCTTTAAATTTAATTTCTTTGTTTCTTATTTTCTGTAATTGTTATTTTCTGTATCTTTTCTTATTTTCTTTAAATTTAATATGTTATATATATTTATATATAAGTTAAATATTGTTAATTGTTTGATAAATTAATGATTTTTATACATCTGAAATATTTTTATAAACTTACCTGTAGATAAACTTTAATACGATCTAAAGGTGCAGTACATGTGCGTGATACACCACCTGCTACGCCACCGGACACCAAATGTCGCCACCACATTCCAGAGACCATCTCACCAGTTGTAAAATCCTCGGGGACACCAATATCTTCCCCGATGTCCATATACTGAAAAAAGAACAGTAACCAATGAAATTATTAAAATTTATCTTTTTGCATGAATACATGTCTTTATTAATGAACACACCGAAAATGAACCACCGCTTTGCATATTGAAAAGAATTGTACCGCGAAAATGTAATTTAAACTTTGATAAATCGTGCATGATTAATTCATTAATGATTAATCTTTTACCCGCCATATTCTGTGACTGACATCTATCAATTATGCATAAATGTATATTTCTATCATTGTTGCCAAAATATATGAAAAAAAATCTTAATAATTTACAATTATATATCTAGATTATACGATCTACATTGGTTTAAAAATACTCAGATATAAATATTTCAAAATTTATTAGAACGTCATTAATTTTAATTTCAATTTTAAAAAAATAATTTTAACTATTATTTGAAAAATATTCTTTAACATATTTTAAATTAATATCCACTGATCCTCTTCAATTTAGTTAAAATACATAGCTAGCTATGTTTTGCTTGAACCAGTAGTTTGTGTAGCACGTGTCAGATAATTCTTGAACTCCGATCAACTATATATATTTTTCAGATTATTTCTTTCAAACACGGATTTTGAACTGTTTTGTTTGTTATAAACATTATATCATATTTTACAATTAATCTTTTCTTTTTTTAATAATAATATTATTAAAAAAAGATATTATATAGCTAATATTAGATGATATACTATAAAACTGATTTCTTTAAATTTTAAACATAAATTTCAACCATAAAACATGTATCAATATTTAGAAAATATTTTGATATTTTAAGTCAAAATTTTGTTCATTAGATCTGAATGAAATAAAATAGATAAAAATGCAGAAAAGAAAAATGTTTAACAGTTTTATAAACTTGTTAATCATCATCATTGCATTCATCGCAAATAGTTAAATATGTAACAAATTAACTTTTTAAAAAAACGAACATTTATTATCAATTCGATCATTTACATGTTTATTTTTAAAACGTCTTGTTTCAATATAGATATGATCATTAACATAATATATATATATCTTAGATAAGCATTCAAAATAAAAATTTGTGTTATTTATTTTCATTTCATTTATTTATATTCTATTTTTTAGCGAAATTATTTAATAACAATAATTTAAATGTTTAATGAACGATGAAATTATTTTTTTTTATATATTTTCTATTGTAAAACAATGAAAACTCAGATTTCATTTTCTGGACAAGTTATGTATAAGAAAAATAGAAACAACTACAAAAGACCTTGATGCAGTAAGGTTTCACTAAATTAGATTTCGACCTTGCATGTTTTTGATTGATTACACAAGCAACTATTATCAATGTTTTGTGTGAAAAAAAAATTCACAACAATATCCATTAATCATTAAAATTATAATTTAAATTTTTTATAACTTTATACAAATTTTCTAATTACATAATTAATACAAAAAATATATATATTTTTGTTCAATCTTAAATCATAGCTCAATATATCACAAAAATAAATGTTAGTATATTTGAAATAATATATAAATAGTATATAATAAAATTAAAAATAAATAAAAAAACATAAAATAATAATTTTTACAATAAAATATGTTTATTGTAAAAGTTTTTTTTAGAACTGTCAAATTAATGAAAATTAAATAAAATAAATTGAAAATGTATCAATCGTAGATACTTAACTTTACGTAAAACTGAAGTGCAATATCTGTATCGATATCTACGCTGTCCATTATTGAACGGATCTCTCGTTATTTTTTTTTGAAAATTACAAGATGTTGTATAAAACTCTGGTTATAATTGGATAAATTTAAAGACCAAAAGATATAAAGAAGTGGTTTCCTGTAGTTAACTCGGGCTACAAGCCAATAAGTAGTTTGACGTCTTGCCTAATGTTAGCTATAAAATCTCTTTCAATATAACTAATGTTCTTCGAATGTAAGAAATTTTTAATTATTTTTAATAAAACAAAATAGGCCGTTTATTTTGAATTTAGCTAAATAGAAATAATAAAATAATTTAATTAGGACATATTATATAATTTAATAATGATTTGACATTGAGAGAATTTATATTATATTATAAGAATTTTCTTTTTATTTTATGAAAATATCGAAATTTTATATATATATATATATATA